TCCGATCTGTTCCCGCTGTCACTAGGACACGGTAGTGTCCTCCAAATCCAGGTCCGGGCCCCTGCTGCCCAACCCCCTCTGACCCTATGGGGTGCTGGCTGCTTCCCCAAGGCTAAGGCCAGTCACACAAGAGACGAGAGCCAGGTCCCGCTCCCTGAGGGCTCTTGGGGTACTCTGTGGGCCCAGTGATGGTCCGAGGTGCCACTGTCCCCACGGAAGGGCACAGGAAGGAGGCTGGAGGGGGACATGGCCAGGGCTCTAGCGTGGGCCTGGGAGGGAGAGGACGTGGACCCTGGCAGTCCCATGGAGGGGGGCACCTGAAGGGTCCAACCGCCTCTCCTGGGGCTGCTGGAACGTCCAGCGTTAAGGACCTAGGTCTTGTATTAGGCACGGACTCTGCAAACTACAAAAAGAGCTTCTTTCAATCACTCTCGCTTTGGCCGGTGGCGCCCCTGACGTGGCAGTGGTGGGAACCCACACTCCGTGGCCCCCGAGAGGAGCTGTTCAGAGCTATGAGGCCCAGGGGCCAGGCAAGACACAGGGGCGCGGCAGCCAGGGGAGCTAGGGGTCCGGGGCAAACGCTGAGCTAACTGGACTCTCAAAAAAAGCTGGAAACACGTTTACAGGTGAATCTCCTAAACTTTAAATGCTAGCTATTCCAACTAAACAATGTACACTACCGGACCAAACCCTGGTGTGGACCACGTGAGGAAGCCAGCACCTCTGACCCCCTGGGCTCTGCACACCTGCCCAAGCCCCAGGGACGGTCCCCCTGTGGGACCTGCGTCCTTTTCCTAAACTCACTCAGGCCTGGGGGCCCCCGCCCCTCCCGCTGGTACTGCTGGCGGGGGGACAGCCCACGAAAACACCAAGACCATCTGGAAGGAACGCAGGAGTCCACAACTGCAGCCTGTGAGGGCCCTTCTGGGGATCAAGTTTCAGGGAAAGCAGAAGCCTCACCCCCAGAAAGCCCTGTGGACCACGGCCACCCTGGGACTCCCCACAGGCCAGGCCCACTCCTGGGAAGGCCTGGGGGCGGCCTGGGGGCAGCAGGGTCAGTGTTGTTAACACGACTGCTCTCTGGAACACAGACCCCATCTCCCCAACTTAGCACAACCATGGGGAACTGACCGCTGGGGTCTCCTCGGAGGCACCACACCGCGCTGCTGCTCCAGACAAAACACAGGCCCTCACACGAAGTGAGGTGAAAACTTAAGTTTCAGCAACATATCCCCCTCTCCAGTTAGAGCCCTTCAGGGCTATGTTTCAAAGGGCACAAAAACAAGTCAAGCTGTGTGGAAGACCTCTGGCAGGATGTGCACCCAAGCTGATCAGCCACGGCCGCCCTGGAGGACCCCGAAGGACCGCGGAAGGCCCTGGCGGGCCATGGAGGACCATGGTGGAGCCTGGAGGGCCCTGGAGGTCCAGGAACAAATTGCATCCACACATGAACGTCTGCACGCACCGTATTAAGTAACAGCACACGGGTGATTAAAGGTGCATTTGGCACTTGAGTCCTTACCGGCTTTTGGGCAACATAGGCACTGAGTACATCCAGGAAATGCACTAAATAAACAACAAAACAAAAGGAAACGTGCTGACTTCTTGCGGAAATAGCGACACAGAGAAAACACAACTACATGAAGGAAGCATCCAGCCCCGTGACTCTGGGCAAGAGACACGGAGCAGAAACGGCATGACCTTGATTTGGAAAGGTTTCCACAGGCTCAGTTCAGGCAGAGAGCCCTCTGCTTTGAAGGAGGACAAGCTCGGGCCCTTCAGGCCAGGAGGCCCATCAGCCCTTGTCCACAAGCAGGGCACCTGGACCCCTGGTGGGCCTCGTGCTCTGGCCACCGGCCCTGCCCTGACCCCGAGACAGGCAGTGTCGCCGGTCACACCCCAACCAGAACCAGAAAGTGAAAACCCACAACCCTGCCCCCATAGGAGGGCCCCGGGGAACCCAGGGAGTCCTGCAACTTCAAGGCACTGGAAGCACCAGCAGAATGTACAGGGGGACCCCCCCCTCTCCCTCCGTGATCCCTTGACCCCTCGAAGCGAGGCTGGCACCGACCACTGGCGCCACAGACTGGACTTCAGTCCCTGGTTCCTTCGTTGAGAACTGGCCAGGAATGCAGATGAAAACGGGACACTCTGGAAGGACGGTCACCGTGGGACTGCTGCCACCACGGGAGGACCCCTTGCCTCGCACCTCCTCAGCCACTTCCATGATGGGGACAGGCCTGCCCTGCCCCTGCCGGTGACACTACGGGGGTGGGGGGGCTGGGGCCAAGACTCAGGGAGTAGCACCACAGCCTCGGTCCCTGGCCTGCGGGCGCAGGGCCATCAGGAGACACTGACAGGGCAGGCGTCCTGTAACGCTCCATCGACCGGGCACAAGACGCCCCCCGTCCCCACTGCCTCGTGAGGGCGTCCCAGGTTACAAACGGGCCTCTCTTCCAGCCACCTTTTTCCTTCCCCCCAGTCTCAGGGAGCAAAGTCTTCCTCTATGAACTGAGGCTGACCCGGGAGGGTGGGGCAGGCCCGGCACAGGCCTGGGAGGGCACAGAGGAGCCCGTCTGCTTGGTGGGTCAGTTCTCCTTCTCTGGGGTCCCCCTGCACCCCGACCACGTGTCAGGCTTTCAGGTGAGGCTTTCTCGATTTGTGTGTGCATTTGGAGACGGGCAGTCCTGGGGACCCCTCTGTCCCAGTGTGGTTCCCCCCAGGGCCTCTCAGGCCCCACTCTGGGCATGGCGCCTAGACCACCACGACCTCCCTGACCTCCCACGTGGGCTCCCACTGGCCTGGCTTGGACCCCCTAGTCAGCTCCTGCCCAGGGCTCTGAACTGGATTCGCCCGGAGGCCCCAACGCACAGGAAGGGGTGGGGGTCTGGCTCTCCATGCCGGAGGTCACGGGTCTGCGGGGAAACCAAGGAAGGGTCAGCTGGGGTGGCTTGAGACGGGCCATGTTTGGGGGACCCCTGCTGCCTCGTGCTCACAGGTTACACCACACAGCTGCAGGGGACAGTGTAGCCCGGGCGGGGGTCTCCTGCCTGCAGACCCGCTGGTCCCCCACCAGCTCAGGAGAAGCGCAGGGAACCAGGCAGTTCTGAGCCCCGTGCTGCCGGGGCTTTGGGCGGGGGCCGTTCTCTCCGCCTCCGAGCTCAGGCCCAGAGCCAGGTCCTGCTCAGCTGGGGGGCGGGGGGTGGGGTGAAGGGGACGACTGACAGCAGGATCTCTGATCCTGATGCCAGCAGAGCTGGGGGGGCCCCAGGGGCGTGGGCTCAGAGGGGCCAACACGGTGGGGAGAGGGCGGTGCCCGCCACCCACGTGTTCCTCAGAAGCCTCCTACTTCAGAGAGCATCGAACTCAGCGTCGGGGTCCAGCTTCCCTTCCATCACCCGGCAAGTGCCATCGGGCAGTGATGGCCGCGAACGTGCTTTGATGAGGAGCCTGCACTCGGCTGGAGCCAGCAGTGCAGGGACCACCCCCCGGGTGGAACTTCCCGGCTGGGGTCGGGGGTCGGGGGGGCTATTCCTTGCAGACCACTGACACACGGGGACAGGGTCATCGGCCAGCCTGCTGACAGCGGAGGCCGGGGTGGGGGCCCTAACCCACCCACTCCGTCCAGGTGAAACCCATCAACCACAGAATTAGGGAACTAGAAAGGTGTGCGTTAAAAATCCTCGCCAATGAAACATGAGCCTGAAGCAGGGATGAGCTGTAAGACGTGACCTGACCCCGGTGTGAGGGCTGGGTTTAGGGTCAAAGTGACCCTGAGGTGGCGGGAGCAGGGGCCCGGGCAGCACAAGTGGTCCAGTCACTCGGCTCAGCTGTCCGTCCACAGGCCAGACAGCGTCCCCAAGGGCACGGCGACTCTCCAGAGGTGGTCAGACCGCAGGGCCCCGCCAGGCACCCCCGCAGAGTCATCCTTAACCACAGGTCTCTGTCCAAAGACCGCTGAAGCCAGAAGCACCGGCTTCTCTCCTGGAAGTCCCATGCAGCCGGCTGAACCTTGAAGCAACGGGAGCTCAGGGGTGGAAAGGAGGGCCCCTAAGAGGAAGCTGGTCCCAGACTTGGCGCCTCCCCAGGCCACACAGCCCCCTCTTCCTTCCGCTACTGAAGCCAGGCATCCGCGGGCAGGACGCCCAGTCCCTGCCTGCAGCTCCTCTGAGACACTGTTTCAGCGTGAAAACTAAACCTTAATCAGAAGCATTACTGCAATTATTAAAAGTCGAAAGGGAAACTCACAGTAGCCAATCAATTCCTTTTTCCTTTCCTGAAAATGATGAAGAACAAAAGAGGGAGTGTTTCCTATAATACTTAAATAAAACTTTGTGTTTTGAAATAACTAGACGCAACTTGAAGGCAACACAGACGCCATGAGCCTCCCCCCCCCCACCAGCTTCCCTGCAGAACAAGAGCAGAAACACACAGGAGACACTAAGATTTCAGTTACAAGTTGTTAGATTCTTTAAACGCTCATTCCCCCAACCTGTGAGTGATGCTGAGTTTCCTCTGCTAATTCAGAAATAGAAACAGTGATACGTACCCTCATTTTATTTGCAGTACTCTGATTAAAACTAGAACAATTCCAGGGAGTTCCCTGGTGGCCTAGCGGTTAGGATTCCGGGCTTTCATTGCTGCGGCCCGGGTTCAATCCCCGGTCAGGGGACTGAGATCCCACAAGCCTCGCAGCTCTGCCAAAAAAAACCAACCCAATTCCAAACAACTTCAGAAAGCATGCACACAATGCAGGAGGCTGCTCTGATCAACCCAGTGAGCGGCTGGGCTGGGCAAGTAGGGACGCTGCGAGTGCTGTGGGCCGTGGGTGGCGGGCCCGGTGCCCTGCAGAGCTGCCGCTGCCGGTGCTGAGGCAGACACGGGCTCTGGCCTCAAGGAGCGCACGGCCGGAGGTAAGTGAGCTCCTGGAGGACAGGGACAGCGGCTGCCCCGGGCTGAGCGGCCGTTCAGAGCAGGGCACAGCTCCTCCATCCAGATGCTGCAGAAACCAGATGTTTTCAAATGCGTGAACCAGGATACACAAGCACAGGGGCCCACGCTGAAACAGATACCAGATCACAAAATACAGCCTCCGCGCTTCACTACCGCACCCAGGGCAGATCCACGTGAGGTGACACTGTGAGAGGTCCCTGTACAGTACATGAAAGCCTGGCCCTGCCCCCCACCCCCCAGGGCCACTATGATCTGCTGTCAACACGCACAGCACAAAGAAACGCTCAACTCCAGTGGGTCCCAGAATGAGTGAGACGGAGCCCTCCCAAGAATCCTGCCCAGCGCCGCCCCGCCTGCTGCCCTGGGCTCTACCACCACACGGCACCTGGGAGGAAGGGCGTCCTTTCCCCAGCCCATCACCCCCTGGTCCCCTTCCACGTGGGTCTTGGACGTTATGACGAAACCGCCAGACGCTCTCGGCCAGAAACACAGGCGGATCCCGCTGAAGCCCAGCTCCTGGGTTAGAGAGGAAGAGGTGAGGGTTTCGAGGGGTCGGTGGGCGGGGGGGGGGATGCCACGGCCATGGCCCAGGCGGGGGGCTGTGCCACCGAGGGACGGTGGCCCCCTGCAGACAGGCCAGGGCTCTGGGAAAGGTCTTCCACATCAACTGTTTCAAACCCCGTGGCCTTGGCTGCCAGCAGGACCTGCCCCCCACCTGGGCTGGAGACACTGGCCCTTGCCAGAGACCAGCTTCAGAACAAAAAACTCTGAGCACGGCTGCACACTTAGCGGGCCGGGGGTAATCGACGACCAGAAGACTTAACTTCCATTCTGCTTCTCTTGTAACCCAAGGATTAAAGTGAACGTTTGTTACGTGCCAACATGCACTTGAAAAGCTAGAAGACACATGAAACACAGATCAGGGTGCCAAAGTCAGGGAGTAGATGACCAGCCCTATAAAACTCTCTCAAGGTCCCCCAGAGCTTCAGCCTGGATGATGGCAGGACTCCTGGCTCTCCCAAGGCGTGCTGGCCGTGCTTCTCATCTCCTCTGGACGGGGGTCCCGGCCAGCAAGGACAGCCTCTCCGCAAGGCCCACACTTGCAAGATGAGGTGGGGGTGGGCAGGACCCCCTCTGGCCTGTAG